CTGATGATAGCCCCTTCTTATGGAGGTACTTAATGACGGCACGCTGCTCGATTTGCTCCATTCGCGGAAATTATGTCCGATTACTTTGTTAATAAATTTATAAAATCACAACTAATTATCGCACACGTTTCGAACTTCACACAATGAACTAGTCTGAACTGAACTAAATAATGTGGGTAGATTTGATTTTTAGAATTGAATGGATCTGTGTTAGGCCGAGTACTTTTCAATCCACCCTCGTAGTATTGTGCCAAAAGTATACGTGCTGCTAACACAGAAGCACTTGCTCGTCGTTGTCTTCCCGTTCCTAATGCAATGTTCATACAATAAAATAGAAGGTATGCCAGGAAGCGGTGTCAGAGATTCAAAAATTGTAACAACAAATCTAAACCACAACCCAGGACCAGTCTAGAATCATGCGCTTGTAAAAAATGAATATAGAAATCCACTAAAAGTCCACTATTAAACATGAGCTTCTCCCCTAAAGGAATATTTGCCTTAATCTTGGCAGATAAATTGCTAATCAGGGTTGTGGGCATTTTCCATCTGTTGTAAACGAGATGGTTAAATAAGTTATAACGCAATTTATCGAAGCTATAAGATTTTCCTGACATTTCCTCAAGTCGCCCACTACAAACCCACGGGACAAAATGTGATAGGAGATAGTCTTACGCCAATTGCACGCTTCAGAACGTGAGGGAGTGCTCTACTCTAGATATATGTGGCCATACCTTCATTTCGCTACATAAAATCGTTCTTATGCTTTAAGCTAGACATCAAATCCATATTACTGTTAACGTTACAATAACAACAGATATTGAATTATAAGATTAGTTTATTTTCTAATTGATCTACTTTAGATTACATAACAGAAAATGTAATTGAAAAAATATATGGACTGCCGTCCGTTGGTCTGTGCGTCGGTGAGCCTTAAGCTATAGATTAAGATATAAAGTATTCAATAAGATTTCATGTATTCTAAGGAGGATCCCTATTGATTTTGTTAATGAACTCAATAACCAAAGATGTTTTATAGGTCACCGTTTAAAAGTTATTAATGATAGTCGATCATATTCCCCGGTTTTTTTTTCTTGTAAAAATTATCGTCACTATTTTTATTTTTTTCATCAAAATTAAAAGAAACGTCATGAGACGTGCACTTTTAGGTTTTCCAAATTTTTATTATACTTATTATGATTATTGCTTGATCATCTAGATCAATAACATATTTAATATCACTTTATTAACAAAAATTATCAAACATTGTATCGTAATCAAAAACAATTGTCTTATTAGAAAATTGCGTAATAAAAACTATAGTATAATTGTGTTGGTATCCAATAGAGCCATTAGTGTGTTGTTGAAGCCCCAATTTACTCCTCCGAACCAGTAAACATCTTGATGAATCCGATTTCAAACAGTCATATTGTCCATTTAACGAGACGTTTGCGTCACTCGTTTACACTTTTTATTTGTGTTCTGTACGACATTCAAACCTTGTATAGTGTCAATTGACAAATGGCGTAAGTACCTACGTAGTTCTTTCTATCATTATATTTGTAACGTTGAAGCTAACAAATAAAATCTATGATACTTTGTTGCTGTGTCATCGATTTCACCTTTTTGGTACTATTAGTAAAGCTATCTTCGTTTATGTATTTTGGTTAAGAATGTTATTTGTATATAACGGTCACCACGATAATTTTATAAATGAGATGATAGATATGCAATAATTTATAGAATCGGGCGTTTTTTTGCGGAAATCCATTATATTAAAGTTGGAAAAATTTACTTTGCCCATATCCGCTCAATAAAATAAAATGATGTGTGTTACCTAGTTTGAAGAGCACCTCCCGCCTTCCCTCGTGCACTGTCCCCATCACAACTAACCGGAGAGTCTACTACACCTGAGGATGCCTTGTGTAGAGGTGAAACGCGTGTCGTATTGTCGTCAGTGGTGTGTCTTCCCTAGGGTAATAGTGGTGGGAGTACTAGTGCTGGGATTAATGGTAAAGGGGAAAGTGCACGCAATTGAGAGAGGGCGGGAGGTGCTCTTCAAACTAGATAACACACATCATGGGCTATCTAGTTTGGGGCAAAGGAAATTTTTTCCAACTTTAAGATATACAATATTGCTTTCGTTGGTCCTGCCACCCCATAAGCGAAGTATCAACGAATGAATGGATTTTCTCGTGTCACCACCACGAGGCAAGGCATATTTACTATCTGCGACAATGGTACCGACTCTATCTTAGCGAACAAACTAGACTTAAACCGCCACTACACGGTTTCTATCTAAAACCATTTCATGCTAAATCATGCCATTGTTTTAAATCAAATGACTCCATAAGGGATCCCAATTAAGGAGCCTGCAACTCACTCGTTCAGATACTTTTAACTAAAATTCAGACCTAATTATCAGAATGGTAAGAAGTTTTCAAACTCCTTTTTTACTTAGGTACAGTTGTCTATAAATATTTTAAATAATGCCAATTATAAGCGATCAGATTTTTGATAAACTGGGTCAGTTAGACTTTGCATACAATACTAACTTTTAACAAGATTACCGTAAACCCCTTACAATTATTCAAAGCGCAATCCCATTACACAACCCTTGAAGGAATTCATACAAGTGTCGCGCACACCGAGACCATTAATTTAAAAAATATATGCATAATAATTTTAAACGAGACATTCCATTTTAGTCCTCGAAGGGTGACAACGCATCTGCAATTTGATTCTTAAACGAAGACAGATGTAGATGTCTATTGCCCACTTTCACCAACGACCCGTAAGATTTATGGGACCCCTTAGCATATTTAGCGGCCAGTTAGGGGATAGTTTCCGTTTCACCACTTTTAAAGGGTCCGTTACTGACTAAACGATCCCCTAAATTTATGAGATGGATTATTGGTCCCATAAACCTTCACATAAGTAAAAGCGACTTTTAGAGGACAAGATGGACCGTGATCTATTTGATTTTCTTGATAATTTAGACACAACTGATACTATATTTGATATAAATCGTAGTCGAAGACCTAAAATATATCGAAAACGACCAAATTATTTCAACGATTTCGATGAAATAGATTTTTTCCGAAGATATAGGTTATCTAAATCAACAGTGATATATTTGTTGGAAAAAATTGAACATATTTTGGAATTTCCTGATAATAGGTGAGTACCTAACTATTTACATATGTTATCAATTTCAATGTATGTACAATAGTCTATAATGTTATTAAAACTGTAGTTTATTAAATATTTAAGTTAAAGTGTGGGTTCCTGGGTTCCTACATTTTCACTTATTACCTATTATACCTAGCTACGAAATAAAGGTAAAAGCATAAAAGGTTACTTTATTGCTCTCCTAACAGTAACTTTTGAATAGAAAATGAGCCTGTATAGGTAGGCCGTAGGTACCTGTTTGGTGCTAACCTACCTACCATGGTAAATTGATACCCGAGGTATATCTTACTTATGTTTCTACCTATTTTAATTTGTAGTTGTTTATATTTTTTACAGGAACAATTCCATACCACCCATAAATCAATTATTAATAGCTTTAAGATATTATGCCACAGGCAATCACTTGCTTGCTGTGGCTGATATGGGTGGTACTAGTTTGGCTACATCCAGCCGGATAGTAAAGAGAGTGTCTCAAGCAATTGTTTCCCTACGTCGAGAATTCATTATATTTCCTGATACAAACAGAGACCAAGACAGAGTTAAGATAGACTTCTATGATATAGCTAGATTCCCTAATGTACTAGGCTGTATTGATTGCACACATGTAAAAATTCAGTCACCAGGTAAATTCCTCATTTTTATTTAACTACCTTTCACTAAAAGTTCATTTCTCTTAGTAGTCTATCAAGCAATGCTGATGAAGTATTATTTATATCTATAGGTGGAGATGATGCTGAACTATTTAGAAACAGGAAAGGCTACATGTCCATAAATGTCCAAACAATTGCATCAGCAAAGTTGTTGGTCCAGGATGTTGTTGCACGCTGGCCAGGCTCTACACATGACTCAGCAATTTACCAAAATAGCTATATTTATAGAAAGTTTGAAAGAGGGGAGTATGGAGACAGCCATTTACTTGGGGATAGTGGCTATCCCTTAAAGGTAAAAGAAAAAATAAGGAGAATAATAATATAATATTGATTAAAACTTAAGTAGGTTACAAAAAGAATTACAAAAATTACAAACAAAAAGAATAACATCATTCATCACAGAGCTCAAAATATTGATTAAATAAATACTTTTTATTTAATAAAAAGATTATGCATGGGTAAGGGATATTTAATTAATTAAAAAGTACACTTAAACTAGTTATTTGCAGAACCATTTTTAGGTATTCCTGATACATTTTGAAAGTTTAAGGTGTGACCTGGAATAGAAAAGAAATATTTTACATCATATAAATTACATTATTATATACAATAATACTTAAAAATATTTTTGTTTTAGCCTCATCTCTTGACACCTTATCTCAACCCTACAACAAGTGGAGAACGAAAATATAATGAGGCCCACATTAGAACACGAAATGTGGTGGAACGGCAATATGGTGTGCTAAAACGAAGGTTTCCAGTACTTGCGGTTGGAATTCGTTTAGCTTTAAACAATGCCATTAATGTCATTATAGCTTGCTGTATCTTGCATAATATATGCATATTAAGAAATGAGCAACAGCCTGTGAATAATGATGATGTGCCTAACCTGGAAGAGCTAATTGCAAGGGGACAAATAAATAATATGGCATTTTCTGACAGACCTTCTTTGTCATATGGATTTCGCAGAAATCAAATTACACAATATTTTGATAATTTATAAATATCTAATTTATTATGTAAAATATATATAGTAATTTCACCAATAAATAAAACACATACCTTTTAATTGGTTGCATACTTCAGTTTTAATTTCCAATTCCTTTCTAGCTGTTTCTAACTGCAGCTGGTACAATTCTCTTTTAAATTTTATTTCTTCTTCTAACATTTTAATTTTTAAATCTTCCACAGTAGCCTTTTTAGAATTCAAATCTTTAAAACCTCCACATAACGTTGAAACAACTTCAGCTTTATCCTTATTTTCTTTAATTATTGGTCGTCGTCTTTTCCATATAGGTGTGGACTTTATAAATTGAGACGATGTTGGTGATGACAGTGTTGGAGCAATGTCATTATTATTCCCAACATCGTTATTTTCAATATTTTCCACATTTCTTGTATTGCACTAAAATTGTAACAAAACAAATTCTAATATAAAAATCACAGTGTAAATATAATATAATCATACAGTGGGTCGACACCTATACAAATGAGTGAAATAATTTTGTATTGAAAATTCTGCCAGTTTAGTTCATTTTGTCGTTGTCGCCTCGTAGTGTTTCTCTGTCTAGCCCTCTATTGAACCACTGGTAGGAACAAAAGCATCTCCTTAAACAAACACAATAATATACATAACTTACTTTTATATAATATTATAATATGTAACAAACTTATTGCCCTGATTTCTACTACGGCATTTGGACTATTTGTCAGTCAGTTTCTAATTTTAATATACCTACATAATAGAGAATTCTATAAATACTAACATTTTCATTTTGAAATATTAAAATTTCCATTGTCTCATCACCAAGTATTGGTAATGAACTGGCTTCAGTAATTTGGTCAGCATCTGAATCCTGGACATCAGTTATGCCTGTACATGCTCGGCCCATCAAGTCACTGACTTGTTCCAAAATTATATCTGTTTTAACACACGATGGGCCACCTCCTGTGCCATTGTGACTGCTTTTGCTAAGTGCTTTGTATAACTTCGCATCAGTCTTCATTTTCTCCCAGACTCTCATAAGAGATTCTTTACTTCTGAAATGTTAGTGGTAGGTTATTAAAAGGCAATTCAGTACGTTCATCATAGTAGATAAAGAGGTTAATGTACTGAGAATACAGGTATTAGGTAGGTAACTTCTCATTCAAGTAAGTAAATAGAAACTCTTTAATACACACATTGCATATTATACAAAATCAAGATAATAATTATGACAATAACTATTTACAGCTATAAAGTTTGGATGTAAAGGCAACTTAACTTTAAAACAACTATAACAAGTACTAAACAAAAGGTTTATTTTTATCAATAACTGTTTATCAATAACTTACCTAGCCGTGGTTCCTGTGGAATTAAATCTTGTGCACAAATTCACCCACGCTTCATTCTTCGCTTGATTTGTTGTACCGTCCGTCTTTTTATTTAATATAACATTTTTAAAAGTATTCATTAACTTTACAAGTTTATCCTTTTCATCAAACGTGAAATTTTGACACCGCTTTCTCTTATTTTCGGCCATAATTATAAAATAAAAAGTTAGAAACGAGATACCAAAGGAAACACCACGAAAACTTGCAGCTGTGACTTGCAGAGACAAATGTCAAACAGTCAATGCACAGATAAAGCTGAGTGTCAAATACGGTGACTTGTCAAACATAAACTAAAAATATGATATTTTTATTAAAATATTAACAAAATGAAAACATATATCAGTCAAAATATGAAAGAACTAATTTCTTCATTAAAATAATACATGAATACGTATTTTTTGTATTAATATATATCATTTCCGATAAAACCGGTAACTACAACTGGGTATCAAGCACTATCGTCGTAAAAAATCGGTCACATAAGGAAGGGTCCCCTAGCTATAAGTCCGTTGCGTTCGTGAAAACAAATTTTAGTTATGGGTTGGTTTAGGGGACCTTTTAGCTTAGCGGTCGTCTAACTATGTGATTGTTTAGGGGATGTCGGTGAAATTGGGCATATGCGTCACAGTATCCACTTACCATCAGGTGGATTGTGTGTTCGTTTGTCACCCTTATTTTATAAAAAAATAGTTTATTAACCAGCAACAATACTTGTTAACATTATTAGAAAGAATTAAAAATAAATAAACACGTATTAAAGGACAAAAAATTACTTGTGTTGCCTTTATTACGATATTAGCCAAATGGAGATTAAAACACGTAGTTTTGAAGAAAATTATAGCCGTCATCATCATCATCATGAAACAATTGAAACGAAATTCTTTTCGACTCTGTTAATTGGGGCTCAAAAAGGAAAATTTATATATTACGAGCTTATTATCTACTACTACGAGCGAGAGATTATTATTTATTTATTTATAAAGGGTTATTTTCTACCGACTTCAAAAAGGAGACGGTACTCAATTCGACTGTATGTTTTTTTTCTTTTTTTTTATGTGTGTTACCTCATAACTTTAATCTGGCCTAACCGATTTCGATGAATCTCTTTTTATTTAAAAGCTGGTGCTTTTCATTCTCATGTGGTCCCATATCAATTTGATCAAGGTCTGACCAATCGTTTTTGAGTTATTCTTAATAATTTATATTGAAATCTGTTGTACAAAATTTTTAATTTAAAATTATTCAAAGAGTAGACAAATTTTAAACTTAAGTACAAATATATAAATAATGATATACCGTTACAGCAGTGTTTGAAAAAACTAGTAAATAAGGCTTCTATTTTATCTGAAATTATCCCAATTAAATGTGATTTATATATTACAACAACGTTTTTGTCTACCGATCGACCCTTACTAATGTGTGCGTGCGCAGTAAAATGAGTTAAAATAATGCATTACTACGAATTTTGAATTTAAAGGATAAAAAGGACAGTGTTTGAGATTTTTATATACTACTATTTTTTTATATACGCCTATACTACTTAATCTGAACCTTCTCTGCAAATTTGGGCGGTTATATCAAATAACCGCCCAAATTTCTCATTCTTATTATCAAATAAGACCCTTTATAAAAGATTCGTAAATATTTATCTTAGCGCTGTAACGGAAATTTTTTCTTGGATAACCACTATATTTAGACTGTAACATATTTTCGAGTAGATAAAGTTCTATTTTTCATTCATATCTGTGACTAGTTCTTACCTGTGACTTCGCTGCTAAGCTTTTGATCGCCGGTGTGGTGAGCCGAGTGAATGAAGTACCGTTGAGTGGAGGATTTGCTTTTATCTCCACACTTAGCAAGCAGAATGGCGACTGCAGTACTAAAGATATCTACTGCTACTATACTAGATACTAGATATAGTAACTTAGACGTTGCTTTCCGTTGCTGGTCTGGATTTTTACGTCAGGCGTTACGAAATGAAGTACCGTTGAATGGAGGATTTGCTTTTATCTCTACACTTAGCAAGCAGAATGGTGACTGCAGTACTAAAGATATCTACTGCTACTATACTAGATACTAGATATAGTAACTTAGACGTTGCTTTCCGTTGCTGGTCTGGATTTTTACGTCAGGTGTTACGAAATAGATTTATCCTCGATTAAGAATCAAAACGCAGAATGCGAAGGACCAAGATGTAATGCTTGGTTTTCGGTAAAAAGGGTCTTTGATTCTCTACATACGTCATTCAAAACACAACAGCATTATGCTGCTATTTAATACTGAGATTCTGTAAGAGCGTGGTTCTTCTGCGGTCAAGCCGACCCATTCGTGCTACAACCATAATATAGCTGAAGCGTTGCTGCACCACGTATAACAGTAGCTTTATTTCAAACTAGATATTTCATTAGTTCCTTAGTTGACTTAGTTCATAGGTAATAGGTAAAACCTAAGAAACGTTCGATTGTTTTGGTCACAGCTAACAAACTACATTGTCAACATCGATCACTAATAAAAAACTTTTTTTTATTAGTGATCGATGATTGTCAATCGATTTTTTTTTCACTATTTTGAAACAAAAAGATTCTAACCGTTTTTTTTTTTAATTTACTAAGGTAAAAAGAATAAAAAATACTGTACCTACTCTACTCATTGATCTCTGGTCAATGACAATGCTAGGTTAAGGAAAAAATATTTTTGGTAGATTTTTCATGAATGATAATTTTATTGAATTTCTAAATCAAATATCCAAATTCCATGTCTGTAAGTCAATCAGTCTATGAGTTAGAGATGCATGTGTGACATACAAACAGACAGACAGAAGACTGACACCAAAGTGACGTTAGAGCTTTACTCTTAGTACGGAACTCTAAAAATCATGAACGAATTCTTTTTTTTTTTGTTCTGCTAGCGCCTAAAAATCAAGATTCCAACGTTTTGTCGCATAAAATCGTATGTAACAATCAATTATTAATATATAATTTTTATCCTTCTAACAATTGATATAAGTATATAATCAATATCAATATATATTTTTAATCGATTAATTGCTATTTTTACATAAAAAGTCGTTTTAGTGCCTTATGGTGTAGATTTATCAAGTCCGTATGGAGTGGTAAACACGATAACTTTTGAAAATATCAATTATTTAACTCAATCTATTTTTTAATCTCTTCATCATCAAGGCTACTGTATTCCTATATGGGGTGGTGCAGCAAGAACCAGGTTCCTTGAGCTTGAAAGAGCTCAACGGTGCTTAATTAAAGTTATGTTCTTAAAGCCCTATAGATTCCCTACAACTGAACTCTATGAATTGAGTAATTTACTTTCGGTAAGAAAACTTTACACTTTAGCAACCGTTTTAAAACTTCATAGTTCCCTAAAATATCAACCGTCATCAACGACTAGACGTAGAAAATATACAGTACCCTACGAAGATTCATTTAAGACTACGTTTGCATCAAGACAGTATACAAGACTTTCAATTTACTTATATAATAAAATAAACCAAAAAATCAATATTTATCCTATGAATTACCATGACTGTAAAAAAACCGTAGCAGACTGGTTAAGAAAACTTACTTATGAAGAAACTGAATCCCTTCTAGAAAACAGTGCCTTATAAATTTTCACACTTACAGACTTCTCACAGTCATCCATACACACACGCACACACACACACACACACACACACACACACACACACACACACACACACACACACACACACACACACACACACACACACAAACACACACACACACACACACACACAAACACACAATCACACACACAATCACACACACACACAATCACACACATAATCACACACACACAATCACACACACACAATCACACACACACAATCACACACACACAATCACACACACACACACACACACACACACACACACACACACACACACACACACACACACACACACACACACACACACAATCACACACACACACACACACACAATCACACACACACACACACACAATCACACACACACAATCACACACACACACTCACACACACACACTCACACACACACACAATCACACACACACAATCACACAAATATTATTGATTGTACCTTACTGCATGTTTTAAATTGTGTAGATTTTTTTTTTATTATTTTAATTATAATTTAAAGTAATAATATTATTGTACTACGGAAGAGCGGGTCCCTCTACTACAGGTATCTATTTACCTAAAAGAGAGTACCCAACAATATTGTAACAACTTACTACTTCTTTTAAAGCAATAAATTTATTATTTATTATTATTTATTATTTATCATGTAGGAAGCCACATGATAGATTAAATGGCAATTTCATTTTCTTTTTTTTAGTTATAATTAATTTTTTTGGTGTAGAAATTTTCGGTGTTTTAGCAGCCTTGTAATAATTTATTTTACTAAATAGACTGCCTCACCCACTCACTTCGGCGTCAGTCGCCGTCTGGGTGGATTAACATTATAACCGGATAGTTTAACTGCTAAAGGTCTAATTTTATTAGAGATGAACCACTGTCCTCTCGAACTCTACATGTTAATTTGTCATCGAAGCGGGGTTTAAGAGTTTATAAGATAGACATATTTTTTTTTATAGAATAAGGGTGATGACAAACCAGCACACAGTCCACCTGGTGGTAAGTGGTTGCTGTGGCCCATAGACATCTACATCTATCTTTGTTTGCGAATCAAAATGCGGAAGCGTTGTCACCCGTGAGGACTAAGATGAAATGCCTCTTTTCCAGTAAAAAGGGTCTCCGGTTCTCTGCACTCACCATACGAAACACAGCAGTGTTAAGCTGCTACTTTACGCTGGTATTCTGTGAGAGCGTGGTCCTTCCCCGCTCGAGCCGACCCACTCGTGCTACAACTATACTACTAATACAGCTGCAGCATGGCTCTACCACGTATATCCGTCTGGATAGTTACCACCCACTTATCTATTTCTGCCACATAATAGCAGTGTTTGCGTGGCTGTAAGAAAGGTTTCCGGCCAGAAAGGCATAGAGAGCCAGTATAATAATACGTTGTGGGGCATTCAATCTCGGTCCTCATCCTCAGGGGTGACAACGCGTCTGTAGCTTTCTTTGTATGTAGGTGTCCATGAACTGCAATTGCCACATACAATCAGGTGGATTGTAAGTTTGTTTGTCATATCATTTTTTTAAAGATCTTTCTAAATCGACGATCTATATCTAGATGGAACAAATTAAAATTTTCAAATACACCTGCGATTCTTTTACAACGTCACAATAAAATAACAAATAAAAATTAAAATATAATTAAATAAAGCACCTCTTTCCCTACATAAACTACTCGTTTGCTATTGATATATTAACATAAGTATAAGTAGAATAAGTAGAACTGAATTCACGGTAAGCATTCAAAACGATATACAGAGAACAATCTAGAATCAGCTTGTGCGGTGTGCGCCAAAGTACAAATCCACTTTTTATACTTTTTATGTACTCGTAGTATCTTTAGTTTGGGCTGCCACCCATATAGAACAGAATATGTAAATATGGCAAGTTTTCAGACATCAATAATTAAACTTTTAATAAAAAATTGACACAGACTTCAAAACAAAAATAAAAATTTCAACATATCAATAGTTTCTGAAGTCTATGGCTATGTAAATATTACATATTTAATTTTTTAGTTTTGAAGTCGAATTGTACTTTTTATTAAAAGTTTAATTATTTTACCCTTTTGAGTGGTCTAAATAATATTGCAACTTCGAGGTTATAAATAGCCACCTACATTAAAAAATATACCCTATTTTTATCCCCTTAGAAATTAATTTTTTTCGACTTATATCAGACCATCCCTAAAGTACCTGTATAAGTATGTTTACGAGAAATTGGTGACCATTACAATAAAAAAAAAAACTGGCCAAGTGCGTGTCGGCCCACGCGCAATGTATAGACAGGGTTCAGTGGCAGTAGCCCGTCACAATACGTGGGCTTCCTTGATAATGAGCATAATAAGTGAGTTCGCGGTTTGACCGCTATAACGACTAAAAATGGGTTCAAATAGGAAGATCGTAACTGAAGAACTTATTTTCAAATCATCCATAGAGTAACCTTTAAAAAAAATTAAAAAAAAACTTTTAGATTTTGATAAATAATAATACCCTATCAATCCCTCAAATGAAAAAGTAAAGCTAAAAAGTAGTAATGCTCGTCGTCGTTTGCTTTATAAAATTTTTATCTTCACTGTTTATAACACAAAGTTATTAATGCAGGTCATTTTTTATGGAGTTGTAACAAAATTTTTACTAATCCAAGTGCATTTTATAAATTGGTCGACTATTACAGGTCAACTTCTTAATTCTACTTAACTGTGATAGTTTTTATTTTAACTTCATTATATATTCTACTATTGTGTATACTTTTCACATTTCCAAAAACAGCGGTTTAGTTGATAAATGGGACATAGAGAGACATAGAGCCACCTGACTGTAATGAAAAATACCACTTTAAAGCTAAATATTTCGCAAACGGACCCCTAAATCGAAAACATGTTATTCCACACCCCAATGTTTTTGAAAGAGTTATAAAACGATACCCCACATGATGGAATAGACAGGTAAAAAAATCATCCTCCATTTACTTATATGGCAAGTACCCAAAACAAAAATATTTTTTAATATTTTATTTCACAGTTTTCTAGGCGTGATTAATATGTATAACTATGCCAAATTACAGGATTTGTAGCACCTAGAGTCTCAGTAAAACCGCGAACGGGCGGACGGAAAATTCGTGCAATTTTATTTAGAGCATCGTATTTCTAAACTTTTATTCGACAGATTTATTATTCAAAAATGCAATGCATAATATTCATTCGATTATTTTAAGAACAATTTAAAAAACGTTGATATAAATCAAATCTCAGCCATGTTGTACCGAATGTCGTTATTTCATGTAGCTCATGCCAGTCTAGCATAGCGATAGCCCTATGCTAGGCTTCCCCTTTCCCCCCGAACGGGTTTCCGTGACCCTGGCGGTATGATAAAAGTGAATTATCATGCGAGTTTAGTCGGTGCGAGTCAGACATTCAGACATAACTCGTCATTGCCCCCGCGAGTCGATTATGCGAAGGCAATTATATCATAAAAATTAAGTTATGCCCCTTCGAGTTTTTGGTATTGTACCTAGGTTAGTTTTTGAGGAACAGTGTTAACTGTTAACTATGTCATGAGTAATGAATTAGACAGTTTTATTTTAATGTTCTACTAGATACCTATTCATCTTATTGTAAGTGTTTCGACAGATGGTAGATGAAGGAAATCACTGAAGGGATCAATGAAGGAAAAAGGTGAAAAGGCTTATATTTGGGGCATGTCATTAGTGGATGAAATAAAATAATACGGCAGATTTGAATAAGCTTATGTATTTAGAAAATATTCAGATCAGACAATGCAATTTTCAACATGTAAAATTCAATTGATATAGTTAACATACACCCTAATACACTGCAATTAGTAACAATATGCGATTTAATAAGGACATTTTGAATTTAAATGTAAACAAATACTATTAAATACATGGCAGTTCAGAAACTAAAAATCTACCGAAGTTTTATTCACGACTGCAATTTTAGCTGTTCGGATACAACGTACTGAAATAAACAGAATTTATTTTTTTTAATTTAGTAGCAGCTTCATTTACGAAAACATTTATAAACTGTGTGAAAAATGTTCTTCGGCCAAGTAGCTTAAATATTTCCCCGTGTTTAATCTCACCTAGATATGCCTTATATTTAGAATATATGATGATCATTCCATCACGATTATTCATTTATCATCAATGATTCATTACTTATACTTAATACGACAGTTTTCTTCAGTTTTACTGATATCTATCGTTTTCATAACTACATTTTAATAAAGCTGGTCCATTTATACAGTCGTTATGTTAACATTACATAAAATCATACAAATATATAACAAAATTATCTTTTAGCTTACATACACTAAGGAGCTTTAACTCCAAAAAAATTTAGGATAATTATTTATCACTGCTTGATTGCGATGACTACAGCACTTCACACCTATAGTATTTATTATTATTAATATAAACAGCTCTTGTTTATATGCTACAATTATAATAGTATATAATTAAAATACATGTTAAACTTGCTAAAATTCATTTGTATATTATGTAATGAAGGTTCAGAAGAAACGGGGAGGTAGGTAAACAAACATCCAATTATAACCTCCGAATATTAAAATTTTGCTAACAAATATCAATATACGAAATTAAGTATATAATTTCCTATAATACTCGATATTCGCATTTTTTGAAATGCTTTAAAATACTGGTTACTTTTACTCAAAAAATGTTGTTACATTTTAAGAAAAATATTTTGTACTCTATTGAATTAAGCCAGCTAGCTATGACTGCATATAATAGTGAATTTCGTAAATATAAGTACGAGTCCCCTGAAATAATATACTAACTCATATTTACCTCAAAATAAATAAGACTATTTCTTACAAATAACGAATCACAGATACCAATCGCGAACTGCCACACGTCTAGGTACTAAAGTAACATTCGGGAGACAATGCAAATCATGTGAACAAATAAATCCACCCGGCATCCCTTCTTACAACTAAATACAGTCTTACAACATACAATTACAGCCGTTTCAACAACCTAATACAGACAAAATGATCAAATACTGCCTTTACAGAAATTTAAAAATAAATATACACAATAACAACCATGCATCAGTTAGAGGAAGCGGAAGGTATGACAGCTAAATACTTTTACATTGTGTGGGTCTTCCCAGGATATGATTGATTTGATTAGAATGAACTTCCGAAAAAATAGGCGGTTAAAGTTAGCATATTTATAAGTTTACTCAACTCTGCACTATCTCAAACGTATCACAGATAGTGTGTCGGCGCTGGTGCGGGCGTGCGTCACAGGTAGGGCATGCAGGCTCCACATCGCGAGTGCTCGGGGGACTCCGCGCGCGCCCTGTACACAAGCACGCCCGATTAGCTCATGAGCTGCGTTCTTCACGACGTGAATCAGAGCGTCCTAATGCCCTTCGCAGTTTCTCCACCAACCTGCTATGGAACTTCTCCGAGTCGCGAGATGCACTTGGCGGGCTAGCCGAGCCCTTGGGGCTGTCTTGTGCCCTCAAGGACGCCCGTGAAGGCGGTGCACGACAGTATGACAGTGACCTCATCGCTGGAGTACTCCGGTGTGGGCTTAGGGCAGCCCCCATGCGTGGCGACATAATCGGTCCCTCCGATCTCGACTCTGACACCTTCCGCACACGCCCTCCGACCACAACCTTCTCCGCGGATTCCGATGTCCGTCGAGTCCGCTGAGAATGGTAAATATCCCAATCGTTCTTCACTACAGGCATCATGAACGCCATCTCGGCGACGAGACCGGTTACTCTTGTGCTTTAACGTTTTTGAAGAAATACCGAATGCGTCGCAGTAAGAAATCGCGAGAATAGGTAGCTCTGCGATCAATAGTTTAATACTGAATTTGTAGTAAGTCTGTTTAATAACACTGAATTGTTCTTTTGGATATTATCGCGTACCGATAACAAAATATTTGGTATACTGAATATATATTAAAGAGCGTTTGGTACAAACTGACTTTCACTTCAATGTCACACGCGTTAACTAGATCAGATGCTCACCCTAGAACGAATTGCAATAGAATGAAGATTTTTGTGAAAACACTCAGATTATATGGAAAATATTGGCGCTGACGTCGCCACGACATTTACAGTAAACTTTTCAGATACCAGTGAATACTAATTAATAATACATAGCATGAAATCATAAATATAATAAATATAATAATAATAAAATATTTTATTTTATAAATAGTACGAATTTTTTGTAAAGTTTACAAATAAATTTATTTTTTCTTCTCGCGAGATGAAATTCAATTCGTTATATCTATTCAACACTAGATAGCGCTGTTCCTAAATAAATTTGTACACTGACATCTAGAATTAATAAAAGAAATTACTTTAAGGGAATTGGAAATACTTTGACATATTACTTTGACTATTATTATTGTAAGGAAAATGTTTCATTTTGTATTACTTGACATATTTTAAATGAATTAGTCTCAACTAGCGACATCTAGTGAGCGGAAGATAGCACTCATTGTCTCAACATTCAGCCACTACAAATCACATCGTAGCTTAAATTAGTTATCATAGATAGCGCTAGGCTTCTTAATATATAGGGCAAATCGTATCTTTAGCGTGAAAGAATGATAATTTTTAAAGGAAATAAAAGAATACTTTTTTTAAAAAACAATACGAATAATAGTATTTTTGTGTATTTTGCAATTTTTTACCTTACTTTTCATAAACCTAAATCATTTACTCCCTCCATATTATCGGCGTTATCATGATGAAAGACCACTCCTTTTCTGTTGATCAATTCCGGCCGTATTTTGTCAATTTCTTGCTTATGTCTCATTAGTTGTTGGCAGTAGTGATCCGAATCAATGGTTTTGCCCGGCGGTAAAAGCTCATAATAAACGATGCACTTCCAATCTCACCATACACACACACACACACAGCATCACCTTATTGCATGTTAATAATAATAGTTTTCTGTGTGTTCATGTGGTACCCAAATATCGAGCTTTTTTGTATAACCAGACTTTTTAAATAGGTCAAAACTGTTTTATGGTCAATCCTCAAATCCTCGGCTATGTCGTAACTACTAATACGTCGATCTTGCTCCACTTTTTAAAAAATGACCTCTACTTTATCTGTATGAGGGCGATCAGAGCGAGCTGCATCTTTGACATCAAAATTCCCTGACTGAAAACGCTTGATTTTTTTATAGGATAGGGTGACAAACGAGCACACAGTCCACCTGATGGTAAGTGGTTACTGCGGCCCATAGACATCTACATGTATCCTCGTTTGCGAATCAAAATGCAGATGCGTTGTCACCCGTGAGGACTAAGATGGAATGCCTCTTTTTCAGTGAAAAGGGTCTCCGGTTCTCTACACTTACAATACGAAACACAGCAGTGTTAAGCTGCTATTTTACGCTGGTATTCTGTGAGAGCGAGGTCCTACCCCGGTCGAGCCGACCCATTCGTGCCACAACTATACTACTAATACAGCTGCAGCATGGCTCTACCACGAAAAAAAATCATCTTTGTGCTACATTACTCCAATAAGTCCATAAACATCACAATTTGTTTTCGCGGCTTGAGTAGCATATTTCCTTTTTTGTAATAAATTTTCAGAATGTATCGAATTTCTTCTTTTTGCGGACAGAAAATCAATTAAAAAATGGCGGGAGTGTTTTTTACTTTTTATTTTTATTTTTTTAATTTCCTATATGTATATTAAAACCAGCTGGGTGCAAACAGTACAACCACAGAGATTTTTCTTCAATTTTATACAAACAAAAATACGAAGAAACATTTTCCCCGATCTATTACTTACCTTACTTACTGTACATGTATTCAATTACAATAAATTAGTTTAATGATTTAAATATTCCCAACGTAACTTTCACAGTCAAGCCACGGTAGCAAAACTGGTATGCGCGGTGCGGACCCACAACGATGGCACGGCGACAGGGTAGTGGGTAGAGCCATGGTGCAGCTATATTAGTAGTATAGTTGTTTCACGAATGGGTTGGTTCGACGGGGAAAGACCACGCTCTCACAGAATAATAAATAAAATAAAATAAAAATAAAAAAGCCTTTTATTTCTTGCAAAAGTAACAAAATGAATAAACTAAGCTTAGGATTAAGATAGATATTTAATCTGCAAGAACCCTTCCGCAGGTGAAGGCCTCCTCCAAAGAGTCCCAATTCTCTCTATCTTGGGCTTTTTGCATCCAGCTTGGACCGGCCGTTTTGCATATATTATACGCCCATCTCGTAAGCGGTCTCCCTCTGTAGCGTTTTCCGCTTGGACCTCTCCACCGCTCGTCTGACAGTCTCGCTACATGCCCCGCCCACTTCCATTTTAGTTTTTTGGCATAGTTTAGAGCATCAGTAGCTTTAGATATGCTTCTTATTTTAGTGTGTCTTATTTTTTGGATTTTCCTAATTTTTAGCATGCTTCATTCTAGGCTCCGTTGACACGTAATTTTTTTCTTTATTTTTTCTGTGTATTTCCAAGTCTGACAAGCGTAAGTTAGGCACGGTAAAAGACAGCTCGACATGGCTTTAGTTTTAATTTTTACTGACACTATTACTTTTGAAAATTTTCTTTAAGCTCCAGTACTTATTCCAAGTAAGTTGAATACGCCTCCCGATTTCTGAATAATTACTTTTCTTATCGAAGCCTAATTGTTTGCCTAAGTATATATATTTGTTCGTATATTTCAACATTTAGTTATCGACTGATATTGTCTTTTCCATGCTGTTTGTCATTACCATAGTTTTTGCGAGGTTCATCTCTAATCCTACCTGCCTTCTAGCCAAATTAAGTGATTGAATCATGACTTGTATTGCGAGCTTGATTCCGATAAAAGCACCAAGTCGTCAGCAAATCGGAGGTGGCTCAGGTATTTTCCGTGTATGTTTAGGCCGCTAGTTTTCCAATCCAGCTCTCTTATTATCGACTCTAGGATGGCAATGAACAGCTTCGGGGATGTCGGGTCGCCTTGTCTCACTCCTCTTTCAATGGGAAAGCTTGGGCCGGCTCTTTCCAATTTTACTCTGCCCGTGTTGTTATTATAAATACTTTTTATTACCTGTATATACTCCTTCTCTACCCCTTGCTCTATTAGAGCTTTTCAGATACATGAATGTGATACGGTATCGAAGGCTTTTTTGTAGTCAATATAGACGACGTATAGAGCTCTTTTCTTGATATTTTTCAATCAGTAATTCCAGGGTGTGGATATGGTCTATAGTCGAGAAACTCTTCCTAAATCCCGCTTGTTCTATGGATTGTTCCGTTTCCAGTGGAATACTTATTTTTTGGTTTATGAGAGAGGAAAATAATTTATATATACAAGGTTATATATACATACAACGCTCTCACAGAATACTAGCATAAAATAGCAGCTTAACACTGCTGTGTTTCGTATGGTAAGTGTAGAGAACCGGAGACCCGTTTTACTGGAAAAGAGGCATTCCATCTTATTACTCAAGGGTGATAACGCATCTGCATTTTTATTCGCAAACAAGGATAGATGTAGATGTCTATGGGCCATAGCAACCATTTACCATCAGGTGGACTGTGTGCTCGTTTGTCACCCTATCCTATAAAAGAAATGGGTTCCATGCTGCTACTCGTACGCTTATATTTGTCAAGGCGGGACTTTCTCGCTCAAAGCAGGACGTATGGTCACTCACGTTACTCACATAGGGCATTTTTCATAGTTGCTACGCTTGGCAGTGCCTATTCATTTCGATACAGCGTTATTAACTTAGTCATAATTTAATAATTGCCAGATGGGAGCTAATAGTAAGGGTCCGCGTTGCTCCAGCGCGTTTTTGCCCCCCTCTTTTTTGCTTTGAACATGGATCTCTTTGAAGATACTCAGGTAAAACAGAAAATTTTAGTCCAGGTCGGAAAAACGTAAACGACTTTAATCAACTCTACAAATTGATATTTTAGAAAAAAAGATATATTCGAAAATAAAACGGAGCGTTAGCAACTCTACGCTTTCCACGCATTGGCCAAAAATGGCAAATCCATTGTGTTATAATCATGAAGCAAATACAAAGCGTATTTATACCCATAATCTAATTTAGTTTGATTTATATATGTCAGACGGGCCTCCGCAATCCACTTTTCGCCCCTCCGGGAGACAGGACATGACGGGTGGCGAACCTCGTCGCCGGTTTTTCTCCTGGAGGTTCTTCGCACCCCTGCCCCATTAAAGAGGTGCCGGGAACTCAGGGCCATTTCTTTTATTTGTTGGCTCATGGTGCGAACTAAGAGCTGGTAGATTTTACGCCGCTAGAGTCGGGAAGGGACGCTCTAGACGAAGGTTTATCGATCAAATCAGCGAAAACGGGCCAGATTAGGAGTACCCTTAACCGACGAGCGTGTATGCGACGAGGTATATGGATGTTAATGAGGCGAGAGACGTGTGTCAGGATTGCGCCAAATGGAAGTCCGTAGTCTCTGCCCACTATTTTAGCTTCTTACTAACTGCTTTTATTGTGAGTATTTACCTATATTGTTTCGCAGATGGCTTCTAAATGAAAGATACTGACACCAAGTAACTGTCCAAGTCTGTTTTCTGCTAAAGACGATGCGGGTGAAAGCCACCACGATCCATACAGTAATGCAGATGGTGAGTTCCATTTGCGTCACGATATTTGCTTCATGGTTATAATAGGTCGGCGAAAACCATCTAAGTCCTCAGGAGTGACAACACATCAGCACTTTGTAGACTGGGTGCTTGTTTGTCA